AAGAAAAAATCGTAGGGGGATTTTTTTCGCATTGTCTTCATGCGACCTCCACACCAGTTCTTTCTTATATGTTTCTGCAAAGGTTATCGCTCTTAGCCATTATTTTTGCTTCCTCTCTTTTCCGTGTGCAACTGGTTTCTTTCTTCAGATTTTGTTTTTTCTGATTTCGGAGGGGAACACGACGAAAGTTTCTTTTCCCGAAACCGGGCTGGAAGTTGGGTCGAAGAATGACCATTTTTATCATATCAAGTGTTGTTATATGGAAAACAATAGCCAGATAAATGAATGAAATGAATAGAAGCTAGAACTATCAATTTGTTGAGTTGGGTTATCAAAATGAAATATTCTCACACAGCTGCTCTCTGTTTTAGTTTGCTTCGCTAGGTCTATTCGATTAGCATCGGGCTTGGCAACTAGTGAATAATCGCCTTTACGTGGGATATGGCGTTTAGGGAAAGGTCTACGAAAAATATTGCTTTCAAAGCTGCTTTTTATGAAGTCGTCTACTTGATTCTTGAAAAATCCTGTGACTTTCTTGGCAGTTGTTAATGGACTGGTTTCGTTTCTTCTCTGCCGCACTGTCCAAAAGATTTTTATCCGTGAAGGCCAGGCATATATCTAGTTTAAAGGTCAACAGGGTCACCATAATGAATGTACTCTTTTTCGAAGCTATTTAATGCAAAAGTGCATTGATCACTTGCAGAACATTGTTTTCAAGTCATTCTTCACTTTTAAATATTTCTCAACATTTTTATCTCTCTAGTGTGATTTGGAGTGAACTTGAGGGGATTAGACTACTTTTTGTGGGTTCTTCTCAGCTTCGAAAGCTCATGCTTACGTTTTTTGAACATAGCTATTAACCTGCTTATTTTTTTGTTTGTGCGGTTCATCTTCTTAAGGACTTCTGGAATTACGAGGAACTGCTCCTTGCTGAAATATTTTATGCGTGACAGGGTTCTCGAACTGCACTTTACTTACCACTTCTCGTTCCCGAACTCTTCACACACCCTTTAATGGTGCTTTTCTAGCTCTGACCTGCCTGGATTAATACTCAATTAGCACGATCAGTAGCCTGTCTTGGGGTGGCTATTGGGCGCCAATTTACCTGAGTGATATGGGCATAATAACAGGTCTACTCAACGGACGTTAATCAGGTTAAGGTTTTGTCTGCTATGGGGCCAATTAATTCTTTGGTTTTATCCTTGAATGAGTCCCGTATAGTTTATCTTAATTATTCGTTACGCACTAATTTTTCTTTCTTGACTTGACGCCTTTCAAATCCACAGTTATCCAAAAGCATACCTCTCTCCTTAATGATTAGTCTCATTTTTCTGGTGTTTACTATAGTCATTAAATCTTAGGAATGTCGGTCCATCGCTGGAAGTCCCCGCAGATGCAGAAGTTCTGGAAGCTGCGGGCAAGATGCTCCTTCCTGCCGGCATCGACGTCTACACCCATCTGAGTGTTCAAGATTCTGCCGATGACTTGGCAACCGGCTGCAAAGCTGCCATTGCTGGAGGCACCGCTACTGTAAGTGTTACCTGCCTCCAATTTTGTAGAATGTGTCCAAAAATGAGAATAATGTTGTTCTCTCAAATGGGCTCGAAGCAGAATTCAAAGATTTTCCTCTTGAGACGCTTCCTACATAATCTCCTGAGTTACTTCGTGTAATGTTGAAGTGCTAGTACGAAGATCTGCCTGATGAAAACCAAAATTTCTTTCAGTCTTTGGTAAACAAACATTTACCACAACTATCAACAACTGCGCTATCCAAAGTTTTTAGGTGATCGACGTAGTTTCTCCAAGGACAGGAGAATCCCTGACCTCCTCCTTCTTCAGAGTCAAGGAGGGTCTTTCCTCGTCACTGTGCAACATCGGGCTATCGGTGAGTGATTGCATATTATGATTATGATTATATTATAATCATCTTTATTATTTTTCTCCAGTTTATTGTAATTAACCAGTTTATTGTAATTATTTAGACATACATTTTTGCAGGTTCTCGTACAACAGTGGTCAGATGCAGTTCGGAAGGAGATGGAGAAGCTCGTCTCAGAAGGCGTTAACAGCTTTATCATCAACGTCGAGGGTGACGATATTCTTTTCCAGGTAACTTGTTCATTCTTTCCGGAAAACTGATTTTGCTTTTTTTAAGTGTTCTTTACCTTCGCCAGATCACATAACTTTCAAATTTAGATCCATTTCCTCCATTCTCTTAACAAAACCCTGATATTTCTCATTTGCTTCAATTAAGGCATTCTTCTCATTTGGTTATCATTCGTTTGAGACATCAGCTGTTCATTTTAACCATTTATAACCTGTCGTCATTTTCTCGTCTCGCAGTTACTCTTCACTTCACACAGCTCCACTCAGAGTGAAACGTACTGTCTCAACTCTTGCTCCATAAATTGTTGTTAACTATAGTATCTGGTTTCTAGTCAGTTAATTGAAGTCCCTGCCTGTTGAAATTAAACGCTTGATCAGACTTCCCCTGGCAGGAGCTTTTCTCGTCTTGAGCACCATGGCCTTCTATTGGGCGACAGTCGGTTGATTGGCTCCACATTTCTCGCTGTCATCGTAAAAACACTAACGAACCTCGCCCGACGACAGCATGCTATTGTGTGGTCCTCAAGAATGTTACTAGGGTCCATGTTGAGAACGGAGGGAGCAGCCCTCTCTAAAGGGATTGCGAATATCTCAACGCTCACCATTCATGTAATTTCATTGGGCTCACCACTTTTCTCATTAGTTCGCGCCATTATTATATTTAGCGTTCCTAGGTCTCCAATGGGCCAAAGTGTACACTACCACAAGTTTCTTTCACAGATTGGAAAATGAGGTTATTACTAGTGCTACAAATGATTAAAAGAATGTATTTTAGGTGCTGGAGCATTGTAGAACACTTGGTGTGCATGCTCGAGTTTTGCCTGAAAATCGTACCATCGTGCCTTATTTGGAGAGGAAGATGCTTGATCTAGGAATAACAGGACCTGAAGGCTTTTTACAGTCTAGGCCAGAGGAGGTGGGTGTTTATTATACTAGTTAAGAGCTTCCCGTGATATTTTCATTAGCAAGTGCGCACTATCCTCGAACTCATTCGAAAAATCACGTTTTTTTTTCAGTTGGAAAGTGAACGCGTGAACAGTTTGTGTGTGTTGAGCCAGCTGAGCAATTGCCCGGTTTCGATTTTGTCGGTGAGTATTTTAACCCTTTCGGACCTGAATTTTTCCCCGTGGAGAAATTTTTCTTCTAGCTATTGTTTATTACTTGTGAGCATATAAGTATCATTATGGCGAAATTTGGAAGCTATTCGATCACAAACAAAGAAACTAGAAGCTTTGAAAATTGGCCCACCTTCTTAGTTTTTAAGCTTATGTCGAAACAATTCCAAATTTCATAGTTATGCCGAAAAAGTTTATAATCTTGCACAACATTATAACCCATAATTTTGATTTAAGAATGGATCTACTTCAAGTATTTTAAGAAAAAGTGACACTTACTTGGCCGGTTGCGGGGGTCAGCGTCGATTCATTGTTGCACTTGTACACAAATACTTGTACTATGAAATGGCAGGTTTAGCTCATAATTAGGAAGGGGAAGGTTGACTGAAGCAACCTCTAGCAGGATTAGAAAAACCATGCTGTTTCAGCGGCAATGCAAGCGTTTGAATTTGGTGGTGGCAATTGCCACCGCCAGGGCCGAAAGGGTTAATGAGTATGAACTAAAGGTGCCATTAAAATATATTTTGGTAACTGGATAGCCTTTTGACATAGGATAGAGAGGTTATCGCGTGTCGAATCGGTTACCCTCGAGACCGCATCCATGGCAGCAGACATGACTTCTCGCCAACATGTGGAGTAGTACGTACATATTACGTTGGAGTAATCGGTTGGAATAGTTTCTGAAATTTGAAATTGATAATGAATAAAATATGTCGAGTTGGTATTCATTGGGAAACTCGTGGAATAAAACCAGTGATTGACGCAATATTTTATGTTCCTTGCCAGTATGGGTTGAGATTTCACCAGTTTCTCGCAAGCGGTATTACTCAAGGCTGCCGTATTGGCGCTCCTTCAAGCTCACGACAATATTAGGAGGAGGCAGGGTCAACCGTCCCTTGTTTCAGTTCCAAAATTTTCACGACCCCCTTTTTAGACGATCTTAGTACGACCTCTCAGCATACCTACTTTCCCCTCCCATAGTGGCTGCTTCTGTAGGAACTGACTGTGAGATCAGTCGGCACATACAACTCTGTCCACTTTTCCCTCAAAACGGACTTTAAGCGAGGGAGGAGGTGGAATGTGCCTGACGAAGGCACAAATCATTATTTTGCCTGTTTCAGGCTCCTTTCGTGAAGTTTCCTCAGAAATCTTTGGAGTCCGTCAAATACGAGCAGACCCCCTCTCATATCACCATACCCCCTTCAACTTCTAAATGCGACCCCTATTTCAACCT